GTGTGTGTGTGTGTGTGGGTGTGGGTGTGTGTGTGTGTGTGTGTGTGTGTGTGTTGTAAATGTTCACCAGAACATCCCCTGTTCCACCCAGATAAGTAGATCCAAAATCGCAGCAACTTTACCTCTATTGTTGAAGATGAAGCATGCTTGAGATGAATCAATCCAGCATGGAAACAGTGTTGCTTCCATAGGCACCGTAGAAACGTTACCTTTATGCCAGCAATGCCTTCACGAGTAGATCCAACGTGTGTGTGTGTGTGTGTGTGTGTGTGTGTGTGTGTGTGTGTGTGTGTGTTCTCATGCTCACTATACACCACTCCAGAAAGAAAGCATGACTGCGGCAGACTGTTTCGTTGGACTTTTACTGACTCATCAGGGGATTGAACCACGACAGTCTGCCCAGGATGTTTGTGTGTGTGTGTGTGTGTGTGTGTGTGTGTGTGTGTTTCACCACAACAGCCCCTGTTCCACCCAGATGAGTGGATTGTTACGGATCTGGCCAGGGCTTGATCCCTGGACCTCATGCCTGGTACCGGACATTTATTTTTTTCTGCTATGTCCGTGGTAGCAGCACATTCTACATTTGTGTCCCTTGGACATTTTTACCGGTACCAGAACAGATTTCGTACTTACTCCTGAGCCCAGCCTAGCCGTTAGGCTGCTCCCAGGTATATGTAGTATGTACCTCACAAACTGGTCACACCTTGTGCTGTACTCAGTTTTCAGACATTGAGTGCGAGTTCGACATTGAGTTGCTGCTGGTACTCTTTCTCTGGAGTTACCCTTTTACTTGTTGTTTCATCTCCCCTCTTACTGTGCCTCTCATGTACAAGGCTGGCCATGTTGATTGTGGTTGAGCGCCAGCTGCCCACATCCCCATGTGCTTTAAAGTTTAAACCACTACCTGCAGGCCTCTGAATTTCAAGTAGTAGTCTTCTAGCTGAAGTGTCAGGAGGCTGGGCCTGCCGTTGATAAAATCCATCGGTGGCATCAGTGCGTTACAGACCTCCAGACTTCATGGAGCCTTTTCGGTGACAGGCATGCTGGAGGTAGTGGTGGTTTAATGGCCCACATGCACGTTCCGAAAGGAGGCAAGAGTAAATGGGGAGGTATACTCTGTTCATTCTGCTTTAGACCTTCAGTTCGTATTTGTCTGCTCTCTTAATGATGCTCATTCGTATGCTTTTACTCGTAGTACACAAGAGGAGGGAGAAAGGAAGGGATAGGGGATGGAGTTCTATAGGAAGCAAGGGGCGGGGGAGGAAGAAGGGGTAGGGAAGGGACGTGGAGGGGCAAAGAACAGAACGGAGCAAAGATGAACTTCACAAAGTTCTCAATACTCACTGCTGGAGCAGACTACGTTCTTCACCCCAAGACAAGGTACGGTCATTATAGCTGCATTGAGACTGAAAGATACCCCAAATACAGCTATAACGACAGTATGTTGTATTCGGGGGAAGAAGGTATTCTAGAAAGGCACAAGAGGCCAGTCGGTGTTTGGGTTGCAGGGGGGGTTTGAGTAGAGTAGCTGCCATTGCCTATGGTAAGTGGCCACCCCTATAGACCGGACAGGACTGCTTTGGGCGTCGACTGAGGAGCACTGCATCCAATTCTCGCAGTTGCAGTTGGCTGCATTGAATGACACTGCAAAGACATATGTCATAGGCAATGTGGCTTGTACATGCTAGGAACCACAGAGGCACGCTGCCCGTAATTGTATAGGCATTGACATTCCAGCCCCTGTCTAAAAATTGGACATGACATGCCCGGATGCCGTACATGAGTGCAATGTTGACTGTCATCAACCACTCATCATATGTATGAAAACAAAACACCTTGAATGGGCTATGCCTGTATAATCCTCACTACACAAAGCATGCGAACCACATGCTAGTCGAACCTCAGGTGGGCCATCACAGAGCGGCGTGAGCATGTTTCTTGGGTTTCCAAAATCATTATTCCCTCTCTAGGGGCAGGCGACGATGAGGGCTGATCCAGAGTAAGGGTGTTGAGCTGTTGCAAGATTTGGTCTGCAACAGCTCGGCGTGGCAGTGATAACCTTCCATTACAGTGTGCTGTAGGTGGTTCATGTGATGGTCTATTTTCCACCGCAGGCTGCTGTTTCTATTGTTCGTCTGGCAAGGCTGAGGGAGATCTGACTGTGGTTGCTGCCGCTGTATGCCCAATGCTGAATGTGGGACATGCATGGAGAGGATGTGGCGGGTGATGGCATTCGGGGTAGTCCATGCAGTAGAGACACATGCTCTCAATGACATCTTCCTGGAAATTGACAACACATGGCATGTCGCTGACATGCTGGCAGGAGACCAGGCTGATGTTCACAGCTATTTAAGAATGGCATGTCAAGGCGTGTGTCGTCATGTTCGCGCTAAACCCTAAACCCCACATAAAAAAAGCATGCCTGTGCCACACTGTTTCGTTGGACTTCCACTAACTCATCATGAGATTGAACCCTAAGAGTCTGGCCAGGATGGCCTTT